ATCAAGCAAGGCCGATCATAAGTAGCTCATAATGTCCTAAATTATTGTGAGTTGCTCAGTGTTTTGTTTTCTCACTCTGAAAATTTGCAATCCTATACTCTCAAATTCTTTGATTTGCTGACTGTTTTACCATTATCAAACCATATATAATCTGATCAGTATCTTATAACTTATACCACTAGTTATCGTCATAGCAGTATGATATACTAAATGGATATCTAACCCACTATTATTATTATTACTATTATTCACAAACATGTTATGGGTACATAAGTGTTGTGAAGAAACCATTTTGGGTTTCTTTAAAAAAAGCATCTGATACAGAGGCTTTACCCATTTGGTTCGCTGCTAACACGGAACTGGTAGAGAATATATTGTAACAATAGGCCTAGATTAAAGCAATATTCATACACACCACAAACATAAGAGAGCCTAACATCACGAAAAAAGAGTGGAGTTATTGACAAGCAAATGTGATGTTTGAAAGATAACTTCAATCAACCCATGTGTGTAAGACAGAATACTTTGTTTAATTACGTCTCATTATGGTCTAGTAAAATGTCACGCGGTAATGGTATTGATGCTAATTTATTATTTTAAATACCTCTTTAGATCGTGTTTGTAAAGCTGAATCAGTTTCATTTCCTATCGAGTAATCTTATTACAAACAACACTAGACAATTCACTAAAAACAAAGCCTGCTCATGACCCCATAAAATCAATAAAGGTAAAAATGAGCTGAGTCAGCTCTGACAAAGAAGGGAGACAGCCATTTGTGTATCAGAATACCATTTTCAGTACTATATTTTAAAACTACACATAATCTTGTACCATCATCTTCTTTTTGAACCACTTTCATTTATACAGTTCTTTGTCCAATCATACAATATTTACGCCGGTTTTCTTTTACTTACTAAGATGCTCTTGCTTAAAAATTACATCAATAAAAGAGAACTGGACTAAGCCATGATACCATAACTATTCCACCGCAAACGAATTAACTTCAGTAGGCATGAACGTGTCTGCTCTTCCTTTCTTTTTATTACCCAAAAATAGGTTCCAAGAACAACTGAGTTCACACTTAGGTAGTTCTGAAGACGAGGCTGACCCAGATGTTGCTTGGAAAGACATACAAGCAGCTGTGAAAGCAGCAGTGACATCTATTAGCAACTTAAACCACAGAGTTTCAAAGAACCAGTGAATTTCTTCAAAGTCTATCACACTGATGGATTCTCGCAAACTTGTCCCATCAGGTTCCGAACATGATGAAGAGCGACAACAAATCAGATCTAGGTTAAGAAAAAGTCTAAGAAACGACCGTGAGCAGTGGTGGGCAACGAAAGCAAGAGATGGAAAAGGCGGCGACTATAGGGAACACAAGACAGCTTTACAGACTAATTAAAGAAACTGGAATTAATAAGTCAAGTGTAAGTGAGATTATATCGGAAAAAGACGATACACTCATCTGCTCCCAGTTCAGGCGTTTAGAACGATGGGCGGAACATTTGAGAGAACAGTTCAGCTGGCCTACTCTACAACTACCCTCCATTCCCAGACAGCGTGAATGGAACATTAAAGTAGGTCCCCCAAATCTAGCTGAAGTTCAAAAGGCTATAGATAATCTGAAACGAGGAAGGGCCGCTGGTCCAGATGATTTTAAGGATGGTGGTCCGATTTCAGAGATCAGGTTGAATAATATTTTAGCGAAAATCTGGAAGTTGGACGTTATTCCATCTGACTGGTCACAATCACTTATCGTCCCAATATATAAGAAAGGGTTAAAATCATCCTGGGACAACCATAGAGGAATTAGTTTAACTAATATAGTATCTAAAATACTAGCCTCGATAATTATCAAACGCCTAACTAAGACTCGTGAACTGCAAACACGAGAGAACCAAGCTGGCTTCAGACCTGGTCGTGGCTGCATCGACCACATATTCACCATTTGTCAGGTTCTAGAACACAGGCATACTTATCGGCGTCAGACAGTGGAAGTCTTTCTTGACTTAAAAGCAGCATTTGACTCTGTATACCGCGAGATTCTGTGACGGTGTCTGTCATTGAAAGGCGTACCTCAGAAGTACCTTGTAAAGGCTCTTTACTCGAACATTACTAGTCGAGTCAGAGCTTATGGTCAACTGTCATCTAATTTTGCGACTTCAAGTGGTGTCCGTCAAGGCTGTCCACTTTCTCCATTTTTGTTTAACTTCATCATAGACCTATTGATGGAAATAACACTCTCGTCGATTGAATTCTCGGGTATTGATCTCCTACCAGGAGGTCCACTTCTCGACTTAGAATACGCAGACGACATAGTTTTGTTTGGTGAAGACGCTGATAAAATGCAGAGTCTTCTGATAGCACTAAGCAACAATGCCAAAATGTTTGGGATGCGTTTCTCTCCCTCTAAATGCAAGTTGTTGCTCCAGGACTGGCCTGCATAAACACCTGAACTAAGGATAGGGAGTGAAGTAGTCGAACGCGTTGACAACTTCACTTATCTTGGAAGTCTGATCAACCCTAATGGGTTCGTGTCCGACGAAATCTCAGCACGGATTCGAAAAGCTCCTTCGGCTTTTGCCAACATACGTCACCAATGGCGTGGGCGAGATATCTGTCTATCAAGTAAGAGAGGAGTATACTGCGCGGCAGTTCGTTCTTTTCTATTTTACGGCTGCGAAACGTGGCCTTTGAGGGTTGAAGATACTCGTAAGTTACTAGTATTTGACCACAGATGCCTAAGAAATATTGCTCACATCTGCGGGGATCACCAGGTAAGTAATAGTGAGGTTAAACGCAGGGTATTAGGGAATGATGGTAAGTCAGTTGATGAGGTTGTGAATCTTCATCGACTGAGATAGTTGGGTTATGTATACATGAACACCGATTACCACGACGTGCAATACTAACCGGTGTTGGAGATAGTTGGAAGAAAGTTCGGGACGACCAAACCAAAACGTGGCATCAGTGCTTGAAGTCACTAACTTCTAGTCTGAGCCATGTTGGTAGATCCAGACTACTTGGTTGGGGTCCGCGTGACTTTCGTAACCAATGGTTGGAGACTCTTGGTGACATGGCTCAGAATCGATCACAATGGCGTCGGTGTATACACTCCCTGTCTTCCCTTAAACTAAGAGAATTAAATCGCTTCATATCTTTCTTTCTACGAACCAATTCTTTCTGCTTGTACTATATCTCTATATGCAATCTTTTATATATTACCACCTTTTACCTAACTACTGTTATGAATCCGGTGTTCATCTTGTTGTGTTGATGCGGTATGGCAACCTGGACCGATGCACATATGTGCCTGGTCCCATGTTGTAGCTGACTGACTGATTACCCTCTTTTTCAGCCCCCCTTGATATATGCCACTGAAAACACGTATGAAAGGGGTAACTTCGTCCTGCTGCATCACTAACGCTTCAGCTGTTCCAGAAGGATAGCTGGCTGCGGTTTCTAAAAGCTCTTAACTGTATGTGGATTTATTCTTGACTATCCGTTGTACATCGCAACACAACGTCCATAAAGCGCTTCAACTGTCATATTTGCGATAACAATAATAATAATAATTTATTCTCAAATAACAGTTTGTTACATGAGGCATGCCAGTTTACAGGCAAGGTCAAATTGATACAAATGATACAATATACACTGTAGTAAATTACATAGCTGGGCTGATAATTTATAAGATATGAATGTAGATGGTTTTAATCATTACCACAGTTGGCGCGCTTCATGAAGGTTGCGTTACGAATGTGCGACTGATGGTCAAGGATAGGTCTATTAAAGGTATGAGCTTTTAGAAATCGCAACCTTATGTCCCTTTGGGATATCCAAGGCTTTAAGGATGGTGCAGGATGAAGTCACCAGTTCTATATCACAAGGGGACTGAGAGAGGGAGCAAATAAAAGAAAACACGAGAGGCAGAGTAGCCAATATTCATGAAGGAATGTTTAAGGTATGATTACTCAGTCTAATTTTCTTTTATTAGGGTATTTGTTAAGAAAGAGCATTCCTGCATAGCGAAAGTTTGTAAACTTTTCATAAACGCGCATGAATAGATTGTGCGCACAATAGACATGATGATGTGCTAAAACAAACAAAGAAACAAATAACTTGATGAAATATCGGAGGAACAGGTAGCCCAGATTGTGTTGGACCAGACAGATATGGACATAAAAATATCCACAAAGTTACTAAAGATCAATAGTAATATTAATATATACCAGTTAATTATTACAAATATAATAAAAATTTGGAACGTTACTTAAATTGACCAAATGTTGCGTGTTCTGATTGGGTCCAGTATTGTAAATCCACAATTACAAATGCTTGGTGATTCTGATCGGGTTGACGAACTCTCCAATGATATAATCCAACGTAGGATGTGATATATTCCAATTACAGTCTATAAATAATGGTAGTATTTGATTTAGACTTCAGTTAACTCAATCACAAATGAGGAATGTGTGAGAAGTAGTGTATTTGCTAGCCAGCAACGGTATGTCACGCTATGTAGTAGCACAACGGAAGTGTGTACAAGGTCATTAACTAAAACAACAGGTACAATCATTTAATGATAAAATATACAGACGGTGAAAGATTGACAAAATAAATACAAATAATATTAAAAACTATTTACAAAATAAGCTTGTCAGGCCTCTCTCCTCAAGATATTCAAGCAGGCCGCCATTATGTATAAGCACTAATCGCAAAAAGGGGTTTTCATATTTCCTGATAACTTTAATCCACATCGGAACCAAATTACAGCTTTAAGTAAGCGCTGTGATATTGCAATGTTATTGTTTATATAAAGCCAAATTTTAATGTTAATTAAACCTCTTTCACAAACGTGCTTTGCTGAAAGATGCGAGAATGAAAAATAGACTAGCAATAATGTCAGTCCGTAATATGAGTAAACGTTTTGTAATATATCTTAATTTTGACAGTTGCAAACAACATTTAGTTTAAGTGTTCATCATTTTACTTTTGCCCGCTTCTGGCGGTCGCTTTGCCTTTTGACTTTGGCGGGTTTTCGCCTTTTTTTGTTGATGTTGATCAGCTAATATGTTACTTTCTGAATCCAGAGCCAATGTTTTCGACTCTTTCAAAGCTGACTCTCCAGATGATGAGTTCAGCAAACCGAAGAGATGTTTGAAGTCGGGATCAAGCCCTCATAAGTCATTGAATATGATTATTTTGGAAGGTATTTATGCTGTACTTTTTTGTACTGTTTTGTCTTATCGTCAGATTTTTTGAAATTTTTTTAAAATGTGGTTCATGATTTGAATGTATTTTAATGTGTTCAATCATGGTTGATTTGGTATTTCTGACAATATGTTATTTCCTCTGAAATACATGTCTTACTCATGTTTTGTGACAACACAAGTAAAAGCCTCCTATTTAGCGTATTTTGAAAGGACTTTCGAATAGAGCAGAAGTGGACCTTGACACTGAGTTATCAGGTTGTAATGATAGCATTATCCTTTGAGTGTTAAACGTGTTTTACTAGACTTTCATGGTAGATTATAAATTTGTTGTTCACCGATTTTCGAGAGACAACATTGCCTATAGGCAGTATTGAAGTTGATAGAGGTACAATCACTGAAGGTAAGATTTACCATTCCAGTCCAGCTTGGTTTAAAATTTATTAAGTTATCTCGATCCCTTCAAGCTTACATATAGCCGTCAGTGGTCAGTCAGTCAACAACGTAAAACTTCGTACGTGTGTATATCACTTCGAGTTGCCGTATCACGTCAGCACAGAGATACAATTGTCGATTCAAATCCCATAGTGACAGAGGTAGCAAGAGTATAAGCAGTAGTCGGAAAGATTAGGGTTTAAAGATGTTATTTAAGGAGTTTAATTCAGTGAAATAAATTTGGAAAGAGAAAAAAGGGACATGAAAAATTAAGAAGGTTAAAACTAGGGAGAACACAAAGATTGGATGCATCTGCGTCTCTAACCATCGTTCGCTATGATCTCGCGGATCCCAACCAGGTAGTCTACACCTACCAACATGGCTCGGTTCACTTGTTACTGACTTCATGGATTTTTGCCATGTTTTGGTCTGGCCACCCCTAGCTTTCTTCCAACCTACTACACCATAAAACATCGCACGTCGGGGCAGTCGGTGTTTGGGCGTTGGTAACATGTCGTAAGTGGAGTTCAAGCCCATTCTAAACTCCGATCATCGTTTCTTTGGAACGATGTATCTTGTGTGCATGCGCAGTTTTTAACTGCGTCAACTCACGTCTTTCATAGCCTGTCTATATTGTATTGCTGCTCAGATTTCTGGAATGAAAATGCAATCGTATTGGCTTTTTTTCCTTAAATGTTTCCAAATGAGTGAGTTTTTCCCCCACCCTTGTGATGCAGGGAAAGTTGTTTTTGAGGTCAAGAGCCAATATTGCGCTCCCACAACGTTTAACATCTTTAATAATACCTCACTCAAGGCACATTGCTCGACAACCTCTCCGTCGTAATTTGATTTTGTCTACCGTATAAAGGGTAGTTTCTATTATTAGTGTGCATCGAAGTCCAGATGATAGTAAGTGGTACTTGTTAGGTAATCATCTCACATTCCTTCAATTAGTCTTATTTAAAGGATGTTTATTGTGCCATTTTAAGTCCTCGACCGTTGTTGCTATCTTGATGTGGTGGTCGGACTTGCGTATCGTGATGAAGCAACCGAGCTATACTGGCTAAAACAACTGTTCCTCAAGGTCCTACCATGTCAGACAGGTCGGTCGAAGAGCGGTAAGAATAAAAGCAACAAACCTAAGGTCCGAAGGCGAAGTCGTACTGCTGACTGTGCAGAGGTGTGACAGCAGTAAAGTTTTTCCTCCAGACTACCAGCATGATAGCGATGCTGCCTTCCCACAAGGATGGGTAGGGTTAGAAAAGGTTGACCCTAGAAATGCACACCTCACCTTATCCCACAGATATCCGTCTCCGGCGGTAAGGTCTTAACAAGTACGGAGCTAACAAGAAAATTACCCACGAAAACGTCGTGTGTGACCGACTTCAAGCAGTTGTCCCTTGGGCACTGTGGTCACGCTCTCAGGTCACTAAGACCACCTCTAATCCGATTTCTTTTTCAGGTACCTCCAGAAGAACCCTTCCACCATGTGGGCAACCGGGAAGTAATAACCGCCCTCATACCTATAACAGCATTCAAGACCACTGTATTCATAATCATTTTAAGTCACTACTGGCTAAAGTAAACTAAACAGGCTAGATTTGCATCCGTATATAGACATTTAAGAAATAATGTTAACGTTCCTTACCATTGATTCTAAGGTATCTAATGACGTGTAATCGAAATTCGTTTAGCAACCGGGAGATAAAAGACACGTGCTATTTCAGTACAAAATATGCGAATTAAAATCTTACACGTCATTCAGAACTGTAATTAAATTTTAAGACGAAATCCGCTTGCTGTCATCCATGGATGGGCATTTTGAATAAATATTTTATGTGTTTGTTTGTTCTCTTTGCAAATGATTATTGTATACGTAAACAAGGTGCACTTAATCTTTATGCACATGGTTTGTCTGTATTTCAGATGAAAATGATGATGATGACGAACGTTTGGCTCGACGAAAGTCACGTTTACTTGAGCCTCATCCCGCTAGTGTTAATAGTCCAGGTGCTAGCTCTACTGCAGCTAGACGACGCGCAGATGCCGCAGCTCCACGTGGTATACCTCAGGCACAAATTGGTGAACATTATGGCAATTGTATTCGACTAGCTGCGGAAAATAAAATCACGGCCAAAAATGCTTTTAACTTACATCTGATCGATTACATGAGTGAAATGATAAAAAAGGAGGACTTCGCAAGCTTCCAGGTATTATACGTCTTTTACTTCGACTTTCTTATTTGTACAAAGTCTATACAATCAGTTTTTTCCTTTTGCATCACAACGGTCAAGCTATTGTTTTGAAAAATAATAAATCACGTTATTTAGTCACTGAAACTGCATTGATATTATGATAGTATTTTTAGCTAGTTAGTGATAACCGTTTAATTCAGTAGCAGTTAGGTTAAAAATCTAGTGTGATTGTAAACACACCAGGTCAAATAAATGTATAGCAAGTGAATGCAACAGTTATTCTAGCGAATTATGTGCTGAGAGCACCAATCTTTCAATGCTGTTTGATTCACTGAAGGAGAATATCGACATCTTTAATACTTTTGTGGTTTGTGAAGTGGATGTTTAGATGCTGATTGAGTCTTACAACCTGACTGCTTGTTTTCTGGTCGATATATATTGAAGCTGTTTCAAGCTTAGGTTTTAAAGATATAGATCTATCAATTGTGTAGTTTATGTACCTATCCCTGTATGTATTTCGTCAGTAGCCAAAATTATCTGAATAAACTTATTTAGGAAAATGTATGGCTTGATGAATGTTGATTAGCTGGGATATTTGATGACATTCAATAAATAGTAATTAGGTTTTTCTGTTCTCTTCAGTTACCAACCATTACCCAACAGCCTGAATAAGAAACTGACAATACCCCCCCCCAGTTGTTAAAAAAATTGCGAAGGAAACTTCATCGGGAGAAGAGAGACCTGCTGCGTTGTATCATGTCTATGTGCCTTGCAAGTTGATGGTCCAGCCTTAGCAGTAAAACTGAGTAGCTAACCAGAGCCAGGTATTTCCATACATATCTCTCAAACCGGTTACAATCACGGATCTGTCATCAGGATTGGCAGCCTCAAGTAATCTTGATAGAACTCCCCCACTTCATTTTTATTTAATTTTGTTATGGGCATATCTTCAAAGATAATACTTTTGGATTCCCAGAAGTTGATCTTATACCAGGAGAATCTAAAGTACACAAATGATATGGTTCTGTTGGACAAAAACGCCTAAAATATGCCGTCTTCTAAACACCATGAGTAACCATGCATAATTGTTCAGGATGAATTTCTCCCCTAAATGTTACCTCAAAATTTGTCTTTGTCAGTGGCTAGTTTGACATTAAGGAGTAAAGTAGTCAAGCGCGTTAACCACTTTATTTATCTTGAACCTCCCATCAGCTTAAGAGCATTGGTATCTGGTGGCCTCTGAAAGGATTCACAAAGTCAATTCACGTTAATTACGGTGTGGTCGCATCAATTCATAAAGTTACTAACTTCTGATATGAGCTGTGTTGGCAGATATAGAGTACTTGGTTGGAGTTCGCGCGACTATCGTAACTAGTGGTTGGAGGCTCTGAGTGACATGGCTCTGAATCGATCACAGTGGTGTAGGTGTACACACTCTTTGTCTCCCCTTAAACTATGAGATTAAAGTCACTTTACACCTTTCTACCAGCTAATTCTTTCTCCCCATGTTATAGCTTGTGGCCTGTGTGCCCTGTTGATGTATGACGTAACGATACCTCCAATTAGAGAGCAGTAAATTATCGATCGGACCAATGATGCATAAAACCCGTGCGAGCAGTCTAGAGTACTTACTGGTCCTGCTTCCTGCCTAGCCCAGCCAGTTAAGTCCAGAACACAAATCTCAGCGATATGAATCATTTATTTCATACATACTCGGTTTATATGCCAACCAGACAGACCACATCGTACCATAAAATAGAAAATAACATTTGTACAAGATTCAGCCAAAAGTGGCTGTGAACGTCGGAGGTAGTAATTAATAGACGGCATAATTCAAGAGTGGCAAATCGTATAATAGTAGTTCATAGGTCAAAATAAAGCTCATAATAAGGGACATGAATATGTATAGTTTAGTTATTTATTAATTATACGATAAAAATATACGCATAGAATTGGTCCGTAAATTGATCCCAAAAGTTACCATTCATTATGCTTATCGGGCATAACATCCTATTTCATATCCTTATATGCAATGATTTTTAACCATATTACTACCATTGAAGTAACCACTTCTATGAATTTGGTGTTCATCTTGTGCTAGTAAGGTATAGCAATTTGGACCGACGCATATATGTACCTGATCCTACGTTCTAGATTACTGACTGACAGCAGTTCATCCCATATTAATCGATGTATGTGAAACGTGGCCTGTGAAAATAGAGGACATACGTAGACTTCAGGTACGTGATTGTAAGTGTTTTCAAAGAACTGCTTTCGTGTGGTGGAACACTAGCTAGTAGTCCCTAGGTTAGACCTACGGTACTAGGAAAACATGGCAAATAATTTGATGAGTCTGTGGGTCACCATCAGCTGATATTTCCTGAACATGTATGGCATATATTCAACCACCACTTACCTTGATGCTAGGTTCTGACTCGTGTGCAATCAGATTGAAAGTAAACCATGAGTTACTAAACTACATGATATCATTCTATGAAATCGTTGAATATGAACTGTATTTGTAAGTGTTGAATACCAGATTGAGGTCCTAACTATAGTCGTGATCGTCAGTCATAGATTTCTTCTTACATAACTAAAAATTGGCCTCACTGGGGCAGATGCATTCATTCTGAAATCCTCTTAAAAATTGAGCTTCATGATTTCTAGTACTATTTTTCCTGTTTCGTTCCTTTTCAAACCATATTTCCGAAACTTGGTCTTGTTGTCATTGATACTATTATTCCAAATCTTTTGACACTCATTTTGTCAATTCCTCACTATTCTGATGTGGTATGGAAATTTGGACTGCTGTAAAAATGTCATGTCTTGCGTTGATTGTGATTAATTTCTGTCTGATCAGTAGTTGTATGGTTTATAAGAACGTAGATATTTTACTTAAATTAATGTATTGGGGTTAACGTTTAATATCTAAATATTTGAGGTTACTGAACTATAAGGAGTCAGTTATTGAAGCCAGCAGTTTGCTACTGTTGAATGGAATCCAAGATATCACAAGTTAGTGACTTATGAAGCTACCGTAAGAAGGCTTTAAAAAGTATGTGATAACCGCTATGGGTGTCATTTTTAACCTTCCCTTTAATACTAGTTATTGGGTCGTGCAAGATAACCGTAATCTACGACTGAAAACAGTTGCAGTAACTCGTTTTTCAGTTCGTTTCTTTATCTTAAACTTAATATTATTCCGTAGTTTCCAGTTTTCGATTTCACTTTTATTTTTATTTTCCTACCGTTTTTATTAACATTGCTTCAAATCATTCTCTTTTCCTCTTTCTGTGCACACATTTATACTCAGTAAAAGCTCATGTATCTATTCATTTCTATCTTTAAAGAGCTAAATGCTTCCTCACTTTTTATAACTCAAATTGTAAAGCTTCATTTGCTTATAATATAAACTTTTGCAATAGTCTTCTCGTTTGTATTACTTTTAGATTGCCAGCTCATCGTTGGATGCTGGAGCGAAAATATACGCAGGTCGTGTTGATGCTGTACATCAAGAAACGTATCAGGTTCTTACTGGACTTGGTCGCTCAGGCAATCCTCAAAATGAAGAGAATGAGAGTAATGCCGATAATGTTGATGATGACGATAAGACTCATTCACATTCTAAACCAGAGCAAAAAAAGAAAACTGCTTCACATCGAGATATTATCCATAAACAACTAAATAAGATTCGAATTAAAACACTAGCTGATAAGATTGATGTAAGTTTTTGCATACACTTCGTACCTGCCTATCTTATTTTACCATTTTTTGTCATATAATGTATAAGCTTTCTGGTAGTGAATACCTAAAATCTGGAGTAAATATTTTCGTGGTTTAAGCTTTCGCAATGACGCTTAAATCACGTTATAAAAGAGAACACAATAGTGGGGCGGTGTCAAAACGTTCGATTTCCGACCACTAGGTTCCAGGTTTGAACTCCATTCCGCCTATTTCGGTTTTTTCAGCCAGCTAGTATTATTGGCCCTCAAACTTAGAGTATGGCTTATACCCACGCATATGGTGAGTGAGTTTATTTGGTTTAATTTAGAAAATACTTACCTTTTTACACGGTTAAAATTGTACGTAATTAATTGTATCTTCAGGTTGACCCTTTGTTTCAACATCAAACAGCTGCCTATGATGAGGGGGGTACTGCTGAACTAAGATTGAACCAGCTTTCCACTGCTAATGCTTCATGTGAATTGATTTTAGACTCATCAACCCCTGTTATGCTCCGTACGTTGACCACCACTCAACAAATAACTCCTATGAATGTTACAAATGTTACTGAATTTTTGTCTTCAATACTTGCAAGATCACTAAATCAACTATCTATATGCTCTACGTTGCAAAACTTTCGCTTTACCGATTGGGATCTAAACAAGAACAGTTTTGATGTAAGTTTACATTATATGTTCTGTAGATCACTAGTTAACAATCAATAAATCATAATCCATTTCGTTTGCAAATCATACTGATTAATCATTACATTCACTCAATTACATCTTGCTAATCACTCTGTTATTCAATTATATTTCCGGATGTTAGTATGTCAGGTTTTCAAGCCATAAACGTGATTGCTTCAAAGTGTTTGATGGCTCGTATCATATAACATTTCTCTAAGTATTATACTTGTATTATTTTTCTGTGTAGTATGCTTTTTTCGAATCGTTTCATTAATCCTTTGAACATAACATATTTCATCACTTCACATGTTTTTGAGATTTCCTTTACAGGTCTCACTCTCAACATACTTTCACCAGGGTTGCTTTCCAAACCCCTGTTATATGTTAAGTCTTTCGTTATCCGACCCAAATACCCTTATTGTTTAGCGTTCCGACGCTTTATCTCATTCGACTAACCACAAAAACAGAACACGGCTTGGTCAAGTACATAATTTTATTCCAAGTTAGATTAAATCCCAGCAAGAAAAACGTTGGTATATTTACAATTCTACACAAGAATGTTCCAGAGTCTTCATTTATTAGATAGCGCTGACGGGTTTAGCATGTTCCATGCAGGATTGTGTTGGGGCACGCTGATTGGCCGCTTCTTAGCCGATCAGCGCTGCTGGATACTTGGAGGAGACTCTTGAATATTCTTACTTAAAAATTATGAATATACTAACGTTTTTCTTATTATGGTTCCTACTTCCATTCAACCTTGTTTATTTGGGATATAATTAAGTTCCATGTTCAACAGTGTTCTGATTTGGAGACTTGTCGAGTGAAGCAGTATCCAAGAATACTAAGCATTAAGAGCATCTGGGTCGTAATAAGAGAAACTATAACAGTTGTAGACTTAGGATTTTATCTGGCCACATGTACCCATATAAGGGTGATTTCTGAACACAGATAGAATCCGAATATCCACTTAGTAACCCTAACGTAACTACTAGATTTTCAAATGGGGTCTTGTACTGTCTGAGGAACAGAAGAAATACAACTTCAGTAGTGATGTAAAAGTGGGTAGCCAGTTATCCTAATGAATGAAATCTACCGACACCGTTCAGTGTAACATCAATAAAATGGACGAGACTAGCCAACTGAATGTGAGTAAAATCATATTATCAGAGTGGCACTAATGAGTGAAAGTCCAATATAAAAACGGAAGTTTGTCAATATATGAGGTGAAACTGGACAGTTGTCAGCGTTTTCACATAAGGAATCAAGAAATATAAAAGTTTATGATTCACATTTTCCGGATCAACTCAGGAATGTAAAAATGTTCTCTGTTACTACTTCTTATACTGTTGACATTTCAGTTTCATCCCAGTTTGTATATGAAATCTAGGGAGGTTGCATTTCACTACATCATACGATATATTTGTTACCTCTGGCTGAAAACCCAGATTTCAACTGGGACAAACATATTGCTTAAAGTCAATAAAAACTAGACACAAGATGCGAATTAACTTCAGAGCTGTCTTGGTGGATAGTTTTCACAACAGCGTCGGTATATTAAAGGATTTTTCACAAAAATATGTAATTCAAGTGTTTAGTTACTGTTAAACTATTCGAATAAAATAAACATGCAATGAACGTAAGTACTTAAATTCTTAGAAATTAAAAAGAGATAATTTTGAATCTTTCCTAGTGATAATGTGTTTTCAAATTATCTCTTAGTCAAATAGCCAAATGAACTGGGATACAAATTCACAACCTATTAGCTTGCTTAATCAGGACAATAATGATGATGGTGATGACAATGGATTCAATCCTCTTCCAGTTCAGGATGATAGTTTTTGTGACAATATTCATGAAGGTAATCTTTGTTTGTGTAGTTTACTGCAGGTAAAAATTACTTTGGTTATTTATCTAACAAAATAATCATTTAAATTCATCAGGTTGCATGAAAACACTTATTATTAGTATTACTTTCACAGTGTCATTTTAAATATATAATGGCTGAAGCTTATATTACATTATTCTTAAAATAAGTATCCTGATGTCGATTTGACATGTCGTGACTTATAAGTTAGATGGTATGTTGATAATTTTTAAGGATAGGCTATAAATTCTCATGAAAGCACAATCCTGGTACTATCGTCTTTACTGTTGGTTACTGTTCAAGTAAAGCGGATCATGAAAAATACAAAAAAATTGGTTACTTCTGCTGGATAGTTTTGTTCTTATCATAAATATATATTTGTTTTTCCTTCACCACCTGACATCTGCTCTAGTTCTGTTAAATGTTTGAATGCTTAAATAGAGCTTTTCTTATTAAAATTAAAACATAGGATTGTAGAGATTGTTGAGCTTCATTGAAATCATGAACCGACCAGTGTTAGATCATTTTTGAAAACTTCGAAACACTGGACGGTCGTTTTGTCATCATGGATTGGTTTAATTCAGACATTAACACCATTGGGTGCCGGGTCAGTAGTCTAAAGTTTAAACGTTCGCACGCGAGGCCTGAGGTCTTGGGTTTGGGTCCCACGTGCGGGATCGTGGATGCGCACTCCTGAGGAGTCCCATACTAAGGCGAAACGGCCATCCAGTGCCTCAAGGTTTTCAATGGTGATCTGAAATTGATCTGTTCGTGATCTTAATGGAACTAGCGATTTGATTATTAGTATGAATTGAATAATGGTTGTATTTAGCTGATATCCTGAGGTCCATTAGTATTCGCTCACTGACTTGTGACATGGGCCGTTTTATTTTCATCTAGGGACAGTTTAATGATAAGATTTTACTATATGGAATCATTTTTTGTCTGATAGAATAATAAAACCTGATCACTATCAAAAATTACTCAATAAGGTCCTAACAACTGTTCGACCTTCAGATTAAATAAGTCTTACACTATGTATTTTCTCTTCACTCTTCAAATAAAAATGTTTTCATTTTATGAAATCTAATTTAGCAATATTAGTATAAAACTGATAAGCTTCTGTTTCATGACACTGAATAAACTTGTATTGGCAATTAGTCTCTATTTAAAACAAACGTAGGGTGGTGATTTCAAACTAAACGATATATTAATGTGACTATGAAGAAGTGTTATAATATTGTCTTAGTCCCACAAAGTTATCTTCAATGTAAATTCTCACCAAGAACTAATTGACATATCACTGAAGTTGGTTTTATCAAGCAGAACTGGATATTACCACACCAGCCATTTACAGGCCTATATAATTAGACTATGGACCATATTTATAGTAATAGTAATACTATTTAATTGTTAAGTCACATTTGTAGAATATTGTTCGTACCTGTGATTTATTTAAAACAATTCAAAGCACAGCATTACATTCTATAAAAATATATCAAGTGATTCGAAAGGTTGTCAATACTTTTAAGTAAATATGATTTAATTCTCATTCCCATGTTTTTTTCTCTACTACAGATATAAACTTGGACCCAGTGTGTGAAACTGGAATGCAAGTTGAGGTGAATGGTTCATCAGCAGAAGCTGTAAATAATAATATTGAATCTAATAATCTGTTGGCTAATATTCCCGTTACCGAAAAGTAATATATATATATACATCACTTGCTAGCTGTTAATAAAATATAATAGGCCCATTTCTGTTATATCACAGTATTTTTTAAAAGTTTATTAATTCTAAACAGAATTGAATATAAAATTGTATATTTAATTATCTCAGCGACTAAAATTTATTTATTTCAACGGTTCGCTCTACAGTGTATTGCTAGTTTCTCAGAATCAATCGAAAATAGATTTTAAGATTTCGCAGACAAACTCTCTACATAAAAAAAGTTAAGTTATTTTATAGATGTTAAATTTAGTTGAAAATATAAATGTAAGTCATTTAATTTGAAATATCTTTAGATTGTCGCATTGAATCATGTGTATCAAGTTCTTAGCTAAGTTTCATAATTATATTTGGCCTTAAGCTATGGTCAAGATCAAACTAGTCAATCAAGTATATAGGAGTTAACTGAACTTGTCAAACTATGTGCCGATTGACAAAAAACCAAATAAGTGTATTCATGTTTGTATTCTGTTAATCAAAACAGTGATGAGTAAGTTATCCAACCTTAGCAGTTAAGTAAGCAATTGAATGTATGTTGTTGATGTTTATAATCCTTTGTGTGTTAGTGAATGTGTCGGAGTAGCAGATAGTTGTTTTTTCATTTGTTATTCAGTACTTCACTTGTCAGCGCTAAGTTTACTCTTACTTACTTACACCCGTTGTTCCCAGTGGAGCATAGGTTGTCGACCAGCATTCTCCAAACCACTCTGTCCTGGGCCTTCCTTTCTAGTTCTATCCAATTGTTGTTCATTCTTCTCATGTCTATTTCTCAGCATAATTTATTCTTTGGTCTTGCGGATTACATGTGAGGGCTTGCCTTGCGGCGCAGTTGAGTGCTTTCTTCAATGTATGTCCTATCCACTTCCAGCACTTCTTCCTGATTTCCTTCTCTGGGATCAGGTTTGTTCTCTCTCACAGTAGGCTGTTGCTGATAGTTTATTCTATCGCCCATATAATGACCTCCTTATTCGTCAGTCTTTCCTTCTAAGACACAAAACACTTTTAGAGGGTTTCAAATCCTTGGAATTTAGTTCAATGTCCAATTTCTGTTGAATACAATGGTCGGACTGGTGTTTCATTCTTAGTTGTCGTTAATAATGAACTAAGAGAACCATTCATTTGTAAGTGCACTTTTATGTCTAAAATAGAATCCTTCAACTCCCTCTAAATATTTTTCGGCAGTTATCTGAAAAACTACGTCATATGGTAATGCAAAAATGAAGGCTCACTGCGTATCACGTTCAACTAATTGATCCAATTATCAAAAATCTTTTATCTTAAATAACTTCAATTCAAAGAAATGAAAATATGAATTGATTACTAAAGCTTTTACTGTAAAATTTTCCACTTCTGTACTTCGATAGTTATGAGTCGCACTCAAAGTACCGCACTCATTGGAACCTTAATTGTCTTAAATTAGCGCACAGTGTTTATCATGAATCTTTATGTAAATATTTACTTCTTCCGAGTAACAACAATGAATATCCTTTTCACCGTAATCTCTTTATCTTTATATATTTCAACTCACAAAGGTTCGAGTTAGAGAATTAATTGATTAGTTAAAGCCCATATGGTTTAAATCCACTCTCATCTTTAAATTATGTTTTGCTATAGTTTATGTAGAAATTTTCGAAATTAATTTATCAAGTTCAAAACAATTTACCACTATCGAAATTATACCTTCTGACCAATAACTTTTTCCAATTTACAAAATTTCCTGTTTCATTTGTTATTTATATTCACCATTACAATGGAGTGATGAGAATTCCCATAATTTCAGTCTTTGCAACAGTTAAAAAACAACTCCCCAATTCAGCTGAATTATTCATACTTGGGCATACTTGTAACTCTATGTGGATCAATATATTAAAATAACTAAGACCATTTTGGTTTCAATCATTAAGTCGATCCACTCACTTCTGTTTGAACATTTTAATATATTATCAATAGTATTAAGGGTGGCAAAGACAGATGTTTTTAATGTACATATGTGCTTATTTCTATTGTTCTTAAACAGAAATAATTCTGTTCTTTATCAATTATTTAGTACTACCGCTACTAATACTACTACTACTACTACAGCAGATAGTGAATTATTTGTATCCTGTTTAAAAAATATGCTGGATAAACAGTATGAACATTTTGGAAAATTAAATGATCATCTGTTGGGTATGTGGGCAGGACCTGAACATTGGCGTAAAAAAGCTAAAAGACCGAAGTTGGATGGTACAGTTAAATTAAATGAAGGTCTGTTTTGCTCATTTTATTATTTTCACTTTATAGGCATATATATGACTATTGATTTTTATAAAATAAAAACCTTGACATGACATTGATCACTACCCAATGATCAGTCAATTGTGATCACATCTCAGTCCTACAGGAGGTCGGTCGCGACCCGGATAGCTCAGTGGTAACGTCTCTGATTGTGAAGCTAGGTGACACGAGATCAAATCCGTCAAGGAGCACCAGTTCCCTCAAGATTACAGGAACACCTTACTGACGAGTGCCAAGTAGCACGGAATCCGGGTCCAGAATTTCTTGTTGACTACCTCCAACCACCAACTTCCGTCCTTGTTACCACGTTATGATTTCAACTTACACCTATTAATACAGTTACTGTATACGCTAACGGTCGATATTTGACGCAAAATTAACTTATTACAAGATCACGAATTAGAGTATTATAAAAACCGGGCTTCAACATCTCACGTGATTACGCAACATTAAATGATAAATCTCATTGAGTACTTAACCATATCATTTGTAATACGAAAATGATTAATAAACTTAAATTTATCTAACTGAAGGTCAAAGATATCTTAACAAAACTCAAATGAAAACCTAAATTTAGGATACTTCAATAAAAATACTATTAACTAACTGTTTAAGAAATACATACAACCTAGTCCTCCCAAAAATCTTTTGTCATTATTCAAAATTTGCGTGATTAGTGCTAGCGCCCAAGATGTGGTGTTTAACGTTCGATGTGTTAGTACTCTACTAGCTTGTATTTTTTCCTTCTCAGTGCTAACCTAAGGGTTGTATATATACGCATAGGAACCTGAGATCAGTGATTATTTGTGTGTATATGTTGTTGTTAACTTCAATAGGTGCAGACCACCTGGTTGGGGTCGGCGTGATTATTGTAACCATTTGTTAGAGATTTTAAATGATATGGCTCAAATCGTTTGCAATGGCGCACTCACATTCAATCTCTGTCTTCCCGCAAATTCTGAAATTCTAATTTCCTCACAATTTTTTCGTTTTATTTTACTAATTTATATCTTCCTGAATCGTATCCTCGATGCCTAATCTTTCCTATTACCACTGATTCTGTTACTATCTCTATTATTCTGAGATTTGGCTTGACAATTCCATCTTTCTGTACGAATGGGGTGTGGCAATTTGAACCCATCTACGTATCAGGTTCTACTTCGTGACTGACTGAATCCGTGTTAATCTAGTTTCTCCCGTCATTTATGTCAATTATTTCACATAATATCATACCTTAATGTTACACGTTAATACACATCAGTGATTGTAAGGACTTGATGAGAAACCACAAAATATAATGGATTTATATCGTTCTGCCTCAGTTGTTGTTATGGCTTTATGTTAATCAATTTATTACACGTAGAAATTTTTGTACAGTGGCATACCAAAGAAATGTAGTACAATTTTAAATAATAATGCTGTGAAGGAGATGAAACGGTCACATAATCAATGAAGAAATGAACAAAATTAGTATTTAATAGCAGAAAAATATTAGTTAGAAAGGAATTTAACCAAGATAGATTCCTTTTAATGTACGCGCTTTAAAACTATTGACCAGTTAGCCGTCCTTAAGTTACCAATTAACATGGAAGTTTCAGTTTCTTTCATTGTCCGTAATCAATGATGTTATATGATTAGATTTCTTGTTCTACCAATAGAAATTTAGCAGCCAAAGCTTAATAACTGGTCATTCCACAATGGTTTCTGTAAATAGATTTCAGAGCTCTGTCAGGTTTTCTCGCCTTTTCAACATCAAGAAAGTGAATACTTTGCTTGCTTTTGGAAAAATTAAAAAAAGTTATTTCTACTTCGCTTGTTACTCGTCTATTCCGTTTTCATTTTAATTTTAATTCGTATTTGTACTCTTTTCTAAACATTTATCTTGATCTTAATGTACATCGAACAACAGTAGAAATAGTTTTTGTATCATTGGTAGTTCAATTTTTATTCTAAGAAGTTCAATTTTTGTAGCGACATTTTGAATTTCATGTGTGTTCTAACAACTTTCTTTTTTCTTGATATCATTTTGTTTAAATGGAGTCGACCAGTGTTGTTTAATGTACAGTTAACTACTCGAAAAAATTGATGCCTTAACACTTAAGTGTTTTAATGTTGCTCATCGAATATTTTGATTTTATAATATTTTACTCAATTTAATGGTAATTTTTCGGTCAATCCATTTCATATTTATTTCAGACAACCCTGAGAAAAATTTTGAACATGGACTAGGTGAAAATGAAACAGGGATTGTTGACAAGGTAATAAACAGTCGAAAAATGACCAAGTCGAAAAGAGATAAAGCCCAAAGAATCTCTTATGCTGAAACGATTAAACCAAGCGAGAATCGAACGAAGCAAGTTTGTTATATGAATCATGTTTTGTTATCTAGTCGACTAAAAATATACTTGTTGCATAGCACAGTTCGTAACAAGGTCGTGTTTCTTACAATTTAACGTACAATATAAATATTTTAACTTTGTAAATTGGAATTCACAATTATTTTGGTATATTTGTTCTCAAAAGATTGTTCGTAAATTGTATTTCTAAAAATAATATTTTCATATTTGAAATCTGTTACTAAAATGACTTGTTATCTTTTAGCTGATTCCTTTTTTTCACAATTATTAATGTTGGTATAACCACTACCAAATACAGGTTCATTACTCTGACTCTATTGACATTGTCTAAAAATAAGCTATTCTATTCAACTTCATAAACCAAAAACCGGTCGCACAAGGTTCTAATCGAAAACCTGAGTGTTGTGATCACTAAATTACCGTTCCACCGATTTCTTTTCACATTTCCATCATGTTACAATTTTCACCACTAGAAAGTACATTTTGTTCAGTTTGGGATTAACGTTGACTACGTAATCGTTATTCGGTCTCTGATGTTTTAAAATGGCATATGTGAGTTTAAATAGTCTCCGATTTTTCAAATGCTAGACAAATATTTAGAAATGTAAATGACCGTTATGATCAATCTGATAACCCTACGATTAAAATAATGTCCAATAAATTAATCATTTGCAACGACATCATACAAAACATTTTGTGCTTCTAAAGTGACCCATAGCTATCCACCATATTTGTACTACTATAGTAAGTTTAAGATTTCGCATTTACCGACATTCAGTATGTAGATCAAAAAGGCTTCGGATTTTAGAAGTATCCGCTTCTACCTCTAATTTTATAGTTATAGAAATCAGAACCATCACTAAAAGAGTACTATCTGCTATTGTCTATGATGAAGCGGAGTTCTTATAACCTATTATTTTTCATCATCTTCATGTAGTTGTCCGTTCGAAAAGAGCTGAACCATGTCTTCATCACTTGTTTCCAAATCTTATTCACTTCAGTTCTTACATCAATTTACATTTACCACCAATAAACAGCTGAATACAAATTGTAGTAAACTGTGATGTCTCAGAGAACAACAGTTGATCCATATAAATATCCTTTTTAAGGTAATTATTGAGCTATATTAGAGTTTACCTATGAGTAATTTACTGATACCAATAATCAATTTTCGCTCTACAAAATCACAATTTCAAGGCCCACTAAACATTACTATACCTCAGTCATTTTAACAGCTGTTATATTATCTGAATAGTGACACCTTTATTATTAGTCTACAAAAATGTGACTGAAGTGTCTTTAATTTCATAATACTTTACAAATACTGGATTTATAACTAGTTAGCATTAACGTCTGAATATTTGGTGCATAGTGAAATCAACAAATGCGTCACACGATATTTATATTCCCAATTTTGTTTATCCAAAATGTTATGCCACTCTATCTTGGCTTGTTTATTACTTTTTTATCTCTTTCAATTTTAATGCTCCTTTGACTGTTTTGGGTGAAGTTTGATTCCTTAAATAATTGTGGTGTTACTCCGTGGTTTTAGTCGTTCTATCTATGTAATATTCTAAAAATGATATAGTTTTTTTATTCTAACGAAACAAAAATATGAATAATATGGTAGAATTAAGTTGAATTACTCGATATAGGGGACTATGTTGTCTAACTTTACCATATTACACAAACGTTTCTTAATTAGTTCTCTGTCAGTAAGAACATTGATAATTCATACATTATGATAGTAAATAAACCATGCTTAATTTTTTTTCCAGCTATCAACTGTAAAGTAGTTTGCCTGAATATCTCACATTAATATTTTTCGGGTCTTTTTCACCATTATCTGCATGACATACGAATGTAGAAATTTCATTGTATTTCACTCACGTTCTTACTCGTCTGCTTCTTTTAATTTTGACCATTTTAATCTTTTCTATTATATATATTAGGAGTGGTAGATTGTCCAGACGAGATTGGCTCAAAAATGTCCTATCATCTGGTGTAGAAAACAGTACTGCATCCAACTCTACGATATTTAAGGAAACCTACAGGCAGAAAGCCAATCGTCAAATGAACATGCTCCCTTCAGAATGGTCTGATTCTCGCCAAACCTTATATCAACTTGTTAATCGAGATGTAATTTTGCGTCCGAATATTCTCCCTGACGGTAGAAATCTCACAAACTGTAATAACATTGCAGTAAGTATTTATTTTTTCAGTCATGTATCATGAATTAGGTGTATCGTTTATTAATGATCCGTTTCTTATTATGAGATTCTATATATGAGATCTGGGTATCCCTCCTACTTGTATTACTTGTATTTTGAATCGACGACTTACTGTCACTAAGCCTATACACCAACATTACATTACTCATCTCGAAAATTCAAACAATCCATGCATTTTATTTTGTGCTGCTGTTTAGTACGATCAATCTCCAAATTGTTGTTACAACTAATGATCTCATACGCATTCAAACTTAGTTATTGTGTTTTTTTATCGAAAGTATGTGATGTATATAATAATTATAATAGTTTACCCATTCACCAGTTACGTGACTATGAGCCACAATGTAAGTTTGGGGGCTAATGATACTCCCCGATTGCCCAGACCTAAGTAGCTGGAGCGGCGTTGTGAGCTTCGATTAAAAACCTAGAAGTCAAACGCCTTAGTCACTAATTCACTGCTGCATTAAATGTTAAAGTGGTTGGAAGTAGTTGAGAGGAAACCCTGCTTGATCTAGGTATCGTGCTACTTGGTACTCATCAACAAGGTGTACCACCAATCTTGGGGGGGGGATTTTTACTCCCTAGCGGATTCGACCCCACACGACCGATTTTCACAAATCTGAGACATCATCACTGAGCTATTCGGGGCGAACTATTTGCTGTGCATGTCAATAGATTTATCGTTTTTCCTTATTTCTAATTATCAGAGTGAGAACGCAGACTATATGGTTGGAACTAGTGAATTATGTGCAGTTCTAACTGTTGGTAGCTCAGAACGACCTGTTGACAATGAGTATAAGGATGCTGATGGCGGACTCGACCAGTTGAGGAACCATCAAGATGACGACGACGATGATGATGACGCAATAATCCCATTCGAATGTGCCTTTACACAAGTAAGTCGATCAAAGAAATGCTGTTTAATATTTATTTTATGGGATTCAAAACAATCTGGTATTCTTTCATACACATAGTTCCCTTTATTATCTTAAATAGAGCAAGAACAAAGATTGGTGCAGAATAATATGAATTCATTTTATTTCGTTAGGTTCTCATCAGCTGCTTACATCCTAAATTATTTGAAATTCAACATTATTACAGATATTGACATATTTATACATAAGAGTGTGAATAAGGATCAATACATGTGTATGATGATGTAGAAAATATTCAGATAGAGTTAATGAGCTAATAAAATGTTTGATTCGAATAAATAAATAAAGTTAGAGAGTGAAAGTTCTGGAACATTGAAATAGTGATTAGAACTCATGAAATTAGATTAATAGTAATAAAGAAAATATGAATTAAAACCAATCATTTATGTATGATGTAATTTAAACTTCAGAAAGAGTTGGAAGATGGGGAATGACGTAATAAATAAATAAATAGGAGTAAATGAATAGAAAGGGTGGGGATTATTGTTACCAGGGTAAAGAAAGATTTATTACTGGTATTCCATTAATACTAAGTGCGTAATAGAGAAGCAAGAGTAAGGTGTGTTGGTGAAACCAAGCGATCCATTCGTTTTTGTTTAGTCCATGAGCAGAGTCTGAAAAAACCATCGTGGATTTATTTGGTCTTTTTTCCCAAATGCTTAGTTACGGTCACAAATACACATAAAATGTTTACTTCGTCAACGGATTTATTTGTTTCCATATGCTACCAAGCATCTAAAACGTTTCTGATTGAATGTATCAACTACAGGTGATTTTTTGGTAACCATTATATATATATATATATATATATATATATATATATATATATATATATATATATATATATATATATATATCAATAAGGTATGTGGAAATTGTTGATGTTCATTGAGATCATGAACTGATCAATGTTGGACCACCATTGAAAACCTTATGGGACTCCCTGTGAGTGCACACCCATGGTTCCGCACGTGGGACTCAGACCCCTGGTCCTACGCACAAACGCTTAGTTTCTAGTCCTCATGTTCTTATTAAAAAATAGGTATACTGTTTGTTAGCCAATATGTAATATGTAGACGTAATTTAGTGACTAGTTTAGTATATAGCATATGCATATATGTGGTTCTACCGAAGTTTCCGTCTTTGTATAACATTTGTTACGCTTCGTCACTTTGCTTTCTGGGATTATCAACTACAGTAGTCTGTTTTGTTGTACCGTTCTCAATATTGGTTATAAGTTGTCGGCTATTACCATTATTTCTACTCAATATGCATACTAAATATTTACCAGAAGTTGGTCAAACTATTATTGTAAACGTTTTGCTTTTCACACTACTTCATACCTGGAAAGTAAAATTATGCTCTTTCCCCCATGGTAGTTTTGGTGGCTTTCAAGACTAATCTTTTAATTTTTCCTAAGTCTGAATAGTTACAATCATTTCCGATCCTCAAGGCTGATCGCCATATTAATTTCCAATACATTCTGTGTTCCATTCACTTTCCTCTATTAATTAAAATACATTCAACTTTATACCTGAATAAAGCAAAATTGTCAAACTGAAAATATTTCGACTTGTAGATATATGATAAAATCTGAATAATCTCAATCCTATGACAAATAACTTACTTCAATAATTAATCGTTTCTTATAACATCTCATTTTTTTTTAGAACGCTGGGTATAATGATGGTGAATTGACTGATATAGAATTAATTTCACAACCAAATAAAGTGGCTCGCATTGAAATTGGTTACGCTCGAACTGCGAAAATGATTAACGTTCAACGGTTAAAGTGTGCTATGTGGGGATTCCTCGAACACACAGTTCCTCACGTTGGTTTAAATATTCCATCTCAGTCACCATTATCTGTTGCTTCTACAGCCTCAGCTCCTGATACTAATAGTTTAGTGGACGATCCAACATCACTCAATGTAAACGAAAACCAAAAACAATGCCCGATGAACGAGGACGTTATTGAGTCAGACAGTGGAAGAACATCATGTCTACCTAAAGTTCACGGTGCTCGAGGTTTCTCAGAAGTTATTGACAACTTATCAGGTCGTATAAGTTGGCAAATGGCTAAAGAACTTAGTATATCAATTGCTTTAAATTGTCTTTTGCATTTGTCTAATGAGAAAGTGAGTTTTTAAAATGACATTTCCTTGTTTGTTCCTTATTATTGACATTTATAACTTCTTTACCAAGCACAGATTAACATACCTATATCTAGGGTTTCAATTATTTCCGTGATGCGTAATGATAATGATGATACCGATATTTCATAACTGGCTAAACTGAAATAGGTTGAGTAACATATCAAGCCACTGGTTGAAAACTCAATTCTCTCATCTCTAGTTATAATATCACTGAATAATTTTGGAGAATATTATCACCTCCATATAAATCGATCAGTCCGCTGCAACGTAGGACCAGGCACATATGTGCATCGGTTCAAGTTGCCATATCTCATTAGCACATCAAGATGAACACCGGATTCATAGGAGTGGTTAATTCAGAGGTGGTAATATATAAAAGAAAGATTGCAATAATGATATAGTACATGAAGAAGGAATTAGTTCGTAGAAAGAAAGATATGAAGCGATTTTAATCTCTTAGTTTAAGGGAAGAAAGAGAGTGTATACACCGACGCCATTGTGATCGATTCTGAGCTATGTCACCAAGAGTCTCCAACCATTGGTTACGATAGTCATGCGGACCCCAACCAAGTAGTCTGCATCTACCGACATGACTCAGACTAGAAGTTAGTGACCTCAAGCACTGATGCCACGTTTTGGTTTGGTCGTCCCGAACTTTCTTCCAACTATCTCCAACACCGGTTAGCATTGCACGTCGTGGTAATCGGTGTTCACGTATACATAACCCAACTATCTCAGTCGATGAAGATTCACAACCTCATCAACTGACTTACCATCATTCCCTAATACCCTGCGTTTAACCTCACTATTACTTACCTGGTGATCCCCGCAGATGTGAGCAATATTTCTAAGACATATATGGTCAAATACTAGTAACTTACGAGTATCTTCAACTCTCAAAGGCCACGTTTCGCAGCCGTAAAATAGAAAAGAACGAACTGCCGCGCAGTATACTCCTCCCTTACTTGATAGACGGATATCTCGCCCACGCCATTGGTGACGTATGTTGGCAAAAGCCGAAGGAGCTTTTCGAATCCGTGCTGAGATTTCGTCGGACACGAACCCATTAGGGTTGATCAGACTTCCAAGATAAGTGAAGTTGTCAACGCGTTCGACTACTTCACTCCCTATCCTTAGTTTAGGTGTTGATGCAGGCCAGTCCTGGAGCAACAACTTGCATTTAGAGGGAGAGAAACGCATCCCAAACATTTTGGTATTGTTGCTTAGTGCTACCAGAAGACTGCATTTTATCAGCGTCTTCACCAAACAAAACTATGTCGTCTGCGTATTCTAAGTCGAGAAGTGAACCTCCTGGTAGGAGATCAATACCCGAGAATTCAATGGACGAGAGTGTTATTTCTATCAATAGGTCTATGATGAAGTTAAACAAAAATGGAGAAAGTGGACAGCCTTGACGGACACCACTTGAAGTCGCAAAATTAGATGACAGTTGACCATAAGCTCTGACTCGACTAGTAATGTTCGAGTAAAGAGCCTTTACAAGGTTTATGTACTTCTGAGGTACGCATTTCAATGACAGACACTGTCACAGTATCTCGCGGTATACAGAGTCAAATGCTGCTTTTAAGTCAAGAAAGACTACCACTGTCTGACGCCGATAAGTATGCCTGTGTTCTAGAACCTGACAAATGGTGAATATGTGGTCGATGCAGACACGACCAGGTCTGAAGCCAGCTTGGTTCTCTCGTGTTTGCAGTTCACGAGTCTTAGTTAGGCGTTTGATAATTATCGAGGCTAGTATTTTAGATACTATATTAGTTAAACTAATTCCTCTATGGTTATCACAGGATGATTTTAACCCTCTCTTATATATTGGGACGATAAGTGATTGTGACCAGTCAGATGGGATAACGTCCAACTTCCAGATTTTCGCTAAAATATTATTCAACCTGATCTCTGAAATTGGACCACCATCCTTAAAATCATCTGGACCAGCTGCCCTTCCTCGTTTCAGATTAACTATAGCCTTTTGAACTTCAGCTAGATTTGGGGGACGTACGTTGTCTCTCCTTATGCTTTAGATTTGTGTTTGCTAAAAATAAACGATTGTCTGAACACCATTGCAACAGATGATCACCATTATCTGTTCGCTGTGCCGGATTACTAAAATACACACCTAAATGTCTTTCTTTTTAGTTTAAGCTACCTATCTGGGCATTAAAGTCACCTACTACGAGTACTATATCTGAACGTTTAGCTGTCTGAAGAAGCTCGGAAAGCTTTCTGTAAAATTCATTCATTTCATCATGATTGCAGTCAGTGAAAGCGTAGGTAGAAACGACGAAAAGGCAACGACACGTGTCCCTATCCTTTCAAATTCTTAGGGAACCGTTTAGCCGAACAGCACATAAGCAACTGTTAACGGGGATGCACTCGAATAGTGCTTGTTCCGCCCTCATGCAGCACCGCTGTCATGCTGGTTGTCCGAAGGAAACGCCTCACTGCTGTCACACCTCTGTACAGTCAGCAGTACGACTTCGCCTTCGGACCTTGGATTTGTTGTTTTTATTTCTACCGCTCTTCAACTAACATGTGTGAGATAGTAGGAACTTGAGGAACAATTGTTCCAGCTAGTATAGCCTGATTAGTTCATTACGATAGGCAAGTTCGACCACCACGTCAAGGTAGCGACAACGGTCGAGATCATATAAATGGAATAATAACGGTTAAAAATAAAATACTGAAACATCAGTTTTCCTGTTTTCCAAAGCTTTTTTATACGCTGTAATACAACGTTTTTATCATAATTCCTACCACCAATGACATATTTTTTCCTTCTTAATATTAACACGAATCTTCCCATTGTTTTCTTGATGTTTATTGAGTGTTAGTAATTTTGTTCTTGTTAAAATTTAGTGGTTAGGGTGTGCAAAAGCATTTACAAATTTCAGAAGGAACGTTTTAAAGTTTATTTTATTCATTACATATTTTAATAGTTATTTTTCTTTTTTCTAGCAATTATATCTAGAAAATGTGGACAGTTTTTCGGATATATACATCTCTCAAGGTTTGCCTTCATTTGAATTGAAACATCTTGAGACCTACACTAATATATGTGATAATAACGCTATTCATCATGGCGATATAATATCTGGTAATAAACCAACGTTGAACAATCAAAAACGTAATAAAACTCGACATGTACGTCCGTCTACACTGGATTCATGGCTTATCGAAAATGATTAAGGATCGTCGGTTAATAATTTGTTAAATTATGCAAACAATAATATTGTATAAAGATGAATATATTTTGTATTCTTTCAAATTAGATCAAAGATGTATTATATGTTTTGAGGTTTTCATTTTTTTGTGTGTAGTAATGATATATATATATATATATATATATATATATATATATATATATTCCTTGTATATATAAGTTCCCGATTTTACACCTTGTTGTTATGATAATCTAAACCGTTTTTTGTTCGTCCTTCTTCTTCATAACTCATATGGTCACTTTTTTGTGTACACATACCCCAATCCTTTTCATTGTTACTTTTCATTTGTTCAAATGGATTGGTATAGTGTTTTATAATTTACCATCTATTTTTTTAAATCAAATATACTTTATTTTATTTCTTTATTGTTAAAATGAAAGAAAGTGCTATTCTATCTCTTAAATTTAGTAATTGTGTTCTTTTTAATTTGAAGGTTATTTAAATACTTGTTTGTTCATTTGTTTGTTTGCGTTCGCCGATTGTTTGAAATAATACAACTTGTACATTTTATTGTTATATTAAGGAGGTACTTTGTATGTAATCAACACGTTGCATAATAGTTCTAGAAAATTCCGCTTCATTGCATGAATGTAATCATCATAGATAGTTTAATTAGTAACTGGACATATAGGAATTTAAACGGTGTTATCATATTCAGGTCTTAAAAAGAGAATCAAAAGTTCAATGTCGCTTTAGCTACTCAGTTACATGTACCACCCTGAACATTTAGTCGTTAAAAAACTACTATTCCACAACATGATATCTTACAAAGCGGTTTTTTTGGACATCTGTTACTGTTAAAATATTCATGATTTCCTAATAAGTATTACTTCTTTGAGTGGTATATGACTAATCATTTCGATCGTCAACTATAATTATTGTTTTTGATCCGGACAAGGTAACGAATTCGGATACTAGTTTTGTTCGGCATAAGGGTTTCATTACTCTGCTGAAAATCTCTAATAATCAATGAAATATCTGTAATATTTCCAATTAATAATACTATTTTGAAAACATGTAATTTGTTTGATAACAATATAATTATGTTGACATACGTATAAACGCTCAAAACACCCGGAAAATAAATCTAGTATTATTCGATAATTTAGCTTTGGTTTGTCATATTTAAGAGTCTTATTCACATAAAAGTCGTGTTCTTTTTGTTTATACTAGAAAAGTAAGCTGATTAAATCACTTAGTAATTGATCATTTAAAGAAATGTCATGAGTTTCATTAGGAAAACAATGACTTTCATTCCATTTCTTTGTTTATTTGATCGACTTAGCTGTTTTAAATATTCTTATAGCCAAATTTCGTTGAATAGTACATATCATCTAATTATTACGTTCAAAATATTATGTTAAGATATGATAGGATTATTCATATTTACAGGAAATTATTGAGCACCTGTTTGGTTGTTTTTGGTTCAGCTAAGATTACGTAAAACTTCGTAAACAGTTCCACATAGAGAATTCTATCAGTTTGGGAAATATATTATTCGACTATATATCTAATTATTGATTGGTTAAACGTTGGGAATATAAGGAGTTTCTGGACGTTATTGGTAAACGGTATAAACATTTTAGGTCTACTGTTCATAGTCACTAGATTTTAACCCTACATCACTCAAAATTGATCTTTAACATATTTTAGTCTCTTATGAATCCTTATCTTCAGTTCACTAGTCAGCTGTGTTTGTACAGAAATCGATCAATAATGGCGAAATTCAAGCTAGTAAAACTACTTGGTAGTCAAATACATTAATAAATTCAGGATGAGCATGTATAACCCTATTTCGACTAACTAGTGGATTTCTACGACTTTGTTTACTGTAAAGAAGCAAATTTTAAACAATACATCGATTTAAATACTTCACCCTTGACCGTCGATTTTCTGTACACTCGAACATATATCGATTATTTTATTTTGAACGGCAGACTGGTGTCCTAAATCGTTTTTAGCTTGAACCGGTTTGATATTATCTAGTCAAGCAGTTAGTAAGAAATTAAAAGCAAACTATAGCTTGTTAGGTTTTGTTCCGTTCAATAAAATTCGAAATCATTATTCATTTAATGTGATTTGCTCGTGCTCATTTGCAGTGTTTCCCTCATTCTTTTGGACAGGATCGTTTATGTGGAGTGTAATATTAAACACATTTCAAAACCAATAACAAAAGTTACTTTTATGGTAAGTTTTGTTTGGAGTTTACATTCAACCGTTCATAAGTAGCAATCAGTCTGTCACTACCGTACATTGGTACAAATGTCACCTTAACACGAAAATAAATCAACCAGATGACACTATAAATGTTCAATTTACCGACTGAAAAATGATTTTTTTTCTTGTTCATCAGGTGACTAAGGTTATCAGAAGTCAAGTGAGTTCAGTACATCCATTCTTAGATTTCATCACTCACCAGTCAGTCATTGTTAACGTAAACCGTGATCGAAGTTGCCAAATCATATTAGTACGATGCGATGAAATTATGAGATCTAGTCTAGTTATGTTTAGACTAATCACGTACCGTTAAAGTGCAACTAATCACAATTTCGTTTACACTCATCTTAGAGCAATAATTTTTGTGCAGGGGCTTGTAATCCTATCTCAATCCGTTTTTCAAATTCTCTTTGTAGAATATCGATATACTTACAAATAATCTGATGTTTAAACATTTATTATGGTTCTCCCACATTAATCGGTGTAGGGTTGCGGAAACTGAGAGAGTGTACTGATACTTAAAGTGTTGTTTTTTTTTCCTAAGATTTATTACACAAATTATCGGACACCCTGAGCTTTAAATAGAGCGAGAACAAACATTGAGCTTTATCGTTACTACTAAACTATTTTGACTGAACTGCCATCATTTCACTACCAGACCAAAGTTCTTATTTTTACAATACTGGATTAATATCTGCTTGTTAACGTTGTTCTTTTTCACCAAATTTTAATCTCACAGGACAACAGAATTCATAATTTTGTAAGAAATAATCATGCAATATGGAAAATTGTAAAGTTAATCTAATTGGAAATTCAACAGATGTTGGACTGATCACTTCTCTCGAAAATTATAAAGAACCAGTGCGTAGAGTGCGTCCAGATGCATGTAGAAAATCTATACAAGCAAGAAGAGTATGTTTCATTTATTAATCTCAATTTTTTACTGGTAGGAATATCTTTCCAATTAATAAGTGTCTAAATAAGCATTACATTTTTCCTCTGGCAACATGTCAAAGTGCAATGTGTTTTATGATTAATAACAGTTTTCTATATTCTATCCCGACTATTATTGGAGTTGTATTCTTACATCAGGTGAAAATCTTGATAATTGATGTTAATTAATAATAATCATTCTAAATGATAAATGACAATATTTTTCTTGCAGTTGGTTTTCTTCACAAAAATTACTGCAAAAATGAACACGATAATGTTTGCTGTATACAATGAATTCATTGTAGTTTGATACTGTCTCTTTACATCTACTTCGTACAAGATAATAAGTTCGAACTTTTCGATAAATATTTACGTATTTGACAATTAAAAGTATGAGTTTTGTGGAGATTGTTCAATGCTATTGATATAATGAATCATTGAAAACATCGCAGCTCTGGACAGTTGTTTTATCCTTTTATGGGACTACCCAACCGTGTAGATTCACAGCCCTACAACTTGAAGTCGAGCCCAGGGCCTTCGCTCTCGCGTTAAAATGCCTAACATCTACATCGTGTACAATTCTAACTCTAATCAATGTTATGTATTGCGCGACCATCTCCCATTGTCCTCGGTGAGTACCTTCCTCGCGCCTAACATAGTTGGGCTTCCCTGGTCAACATTTCTCACTTGAACTCCGGAATTTTCTATCGAAGTTAGCCGCTAAAAAAGCACATGATGAATATCAATATGTGGATTGTGCAAATTGTTAGATATTAATGAGATTACGAATCAATCTAAGTTAGACAACCATTGAAAACCTTGAAGTATCTCACAACAAATATATTATTCATCAGTGAGTAGTATATTGTATGTAAGATGAAATGACAACTTACTTTAACTGAAATAGTTTTGGTAGCATAGGTTTAGCATGGTTTTCCTAGAATATTGTCAAAAATAATTTTATTACACCGAAACTTTTTATGAATACAAAGAGATGAACAAAATTAAACTGACTAAATTGTAAGTAATTAGTTCTTATTGTTCATTTCTGTTACTAAGACTACTTTACACCTTTACTTTTAAAGCCTGTTGCATTCATTGAACATAAATTAATCGATCGTGTGCTGCTTAATTTTTATTTATTTATTGTAAAGTGATTCAGTTTCTTTTTTATGTGGCAGTAACTTAGATGAAGTCATCATAATAAATGTAATGGAGTAATATAAATTCATTATGATTTATTTTCGAAATTCTCTTTAGCTGCTTAAATAAATTTATATTCACTTGACAGGGTGGTGGTGATTGAAATGAAAATAATATTGTGACTGCCATTTAACCAAGTACATTTGGGTTGGGGAAATTCTTGTATGAGCTATCCAGAATGGTGTTTATTTGTGTGAGATTTCAATTATTATTCGATGAAGTGGGAAACAGTAGTTGGACAGGTTTTTTATTAAAGAGTCACAGGGACTCATCTATTACATCAAAAAACTATTGATACATATATTTTTATTTAGGATATTGAAATACATCAGTTATCAATGAAACTGATATATTCCGACGTAAATAATAAATGTTAACTGTTAAGATCTATTTATGGACTAATATTATACATGTATTTTTTTTATCGTATCATTGTTAAATAACGAAACTGTGTATTCATGTTCCTTCTTATTATAAGCTTTATTTTGACCCACAGACTATTATTATACGATTTACCGTTCTTGAATTATGTCTAGTCTATCAGTTACAGTTTCCAACATTCACGGCCACTTTTGCCTAGATCTTGTACAAATATTGTTTTCTATTCTATGTGATGCAGGCTGTTTGGTTTGTATATAAACCCAGTATGTTTGAAATACATGATTCATATCGCGGAGGCTGATATTTGTGTTCTGGACTCAACAAACAGGGCTAGGCAGGGAGAAGGACCGATAAGGACTCTAGACTGCTCGTACAGGTTCTTGTGTCATTGGTCCGGTCGACAAGTCACTGTTCCCTAATTGGCGGTATCACTACGTTATGTATTAATAGGGCAAAAGGCCGCAAGTTATAACAGAAACTAACACAATGATTAGCATAAGCAATACCATTTTATCAATATGTGCAGCTGTGCGTAATTTCTTACTAGTGCATTGTTATCTGAAATTATTTTACATATTATAAGGCATAATACTGAATCTATCTTGACTTACATCTGTGAATTGAGATCTGTATCTGAACTATTTGAAGTTCATACATGAAACAGGTACTTCATAAATGTGGTTCAACTCGTAAGCTGGACATTCTGTGAATCTTACTCTGTTTTATTGCCGAATAGAATTCAGTCAGCGTTGAGTCCTTAAAGCACTCATTCAGGTCGTCATGAGTGTACATGTCTATTAGCTCCATATTATTTACTTAAGAATAATTAAATCGTTTATTCTTTTCTGTCCTGTTAATTAACTTGTGATTTATTCATTTGTTTAACTATTTGTTAACACCCACCAAACCTTCCATTCTCTATGTAATATGCTGTTCTGTATATGTTAACACATAGAATAACGCATCATAGACTTAAAGGATTTACATCTATGAATAAATCAAACTTGTATTAATTGATGAAAGAGTCTCTAATCAAAGTTTAACATTCGTTCAACTGTAATGATTAATTTATTTAATAAAATTAATTAATGGACGATTTAAAAATTGTATATTTTACAACATTTTCAGTGTGTTCAACATTTGAAAAGATTGAAAACGCGTTCAAGTAAACTTCAGTACCATTCAACTATTCAAGATAACCAATATCAACTATCATACGAAATGCTTAATTCAATGCAAGATCTAGGTTCAATCTCCTTAACTTTAAGTAATAATAATAATAATAATAATAATAATAATAATAATAATAATAATAATAATAATAATGCTATTAACTGTTCACAACTTCCTCAACGAAAAAACATTCTTTCATATAGAGATTATTTAGCCTTACCAATTGAAATACGTTATCCATACAATTACGTCAGTGATTTATTTGAAGATGCTCATCCTGAAAATGCTGACAGCAATCGGAATACTAATAATTATGAAGAGTAAATAATATAGTTATGTTAACATCTGAAAAAGGTAATAAACCAACTTTACTACATACAGATAATATATTAATCAATTGATTTCATTTTTTATCATTTCAATAGTGATGTGTTTATTTATATAAATAAAAAAAATTACATTTCACATTTGTCTAAACATTTTTCCATCTCTTTTGTTTCGTTTTTGTTAAAAGTACCACTGAGTATTTTGAACAGTGTTACTCCGCAACAGAACGAAACGACTAATTTACTGTTATACGTAATTGACACCAAATTCTAGTCGATATTTTAGAAATAATAAAGGAATTTGTAGTGGTTTTCATCTCAATACAATAACAAAAATTTTAAAAATCATAGAAATGGGCATAACGTTAGCCTACGGTAGGTTCGCGTATAGTCTGACAGTACCTTCTGTGCTGGAGGAGTGTTAGGAGAAGTAAGTGAAATTATCTAGAAGAAAAAAGAACAAGAGGAAATGTTTGCCGACGACTCAACAAGCACATTGAATGCACTTACATTTAAAAACAAAGGCAACTGACAACAATCAGAAATAAAACGAGTTTAAGATTATGACAATCTGATAATTGGGACAATAAGTTGATAGTGTAAGATTTCAAACGTGTTAGAGTTAAACTTCCTAACCTTACTTGCTTAGTTACTCTTGTTAAAGCTTGTGGAAGAGCACAGACCACTCACCAGCATTCTCCATCCAACTCTATCCTGGGCAATTCTTTCCAGTTGCTATTCATCCATTTCCTGTCTGCTCCCAAGTTCTGACATTGTGTTCTTAGGCCTTCCCCTTCAGGATTCCAAGTTAGGGCTTTCCTTGTGGTGCAGATTGGTGATTTCCATAATGTATGTTCTATCCACTTCCAACGTCTTTTCTTAATTTCCTTTCAGATGGAAGCTGGTTTGTCCTCTCCCACAGTAGGCTGTTGCTGATTGTTTCCGACCAACGGACATTGAGTATCTTGAGTAGACAAATGTTTATAAATACTTGTACCATTTTGATGATGGTTGTAGTAGTTCTCCACGTTTCAGCTCCGTACAGTAGGACTATTTCGACGTTCGTATTGAAGATATTCACTTTGATATTGGTTGACATTTGTTTTGAGTTCCATATCTTCTTCGATTGCAGGAATGCGGTTTTTCAGCTGTAGCTATTTTTGGGGTTAATTATCTGTCCCGAGCCCATGAAAAGGTTGATGATTTGACATGTGCTCAGCAACTCCTCCCCGTAAAAACAACCTTGCTAAAAAGAAGCTAACCAGAACAAATAAATGAGACTTCGTAATTGTTATTATTATTCAAATCACATCAACAAGTTGTCGTTAACATTGGCGCTTTTTTAGCTGCCCTTATATACAGTTCGCAATTACATTATTGGTTAAATATATATTCCAATAGTTGAAATCATGAGTCAATTGAAGCTAGACCACCATGGAAAACCTGGAAGCACTGGACGGTCGTTTCAACCTAGTTGTTGGGAGTTAACACCAATAAATGTTGGCTCAGTGGTCTAATGGTTAAGCGCTCGAACGCGAGACTGATAGGTCCTGGGTCCGAATATTGCGGGGGGCGGTGTCGTGGATGCGCACTGCTGAGGAGTCCCATACTAGGGTGGGACGGCCGTCCAGTGCTTCCAGATTTTCCATGGGGGTCTAGCTTCAATTGACTAATGATTTCAACTATTGAAATTACTAAAATATCCACAAAACCCCTTCTGAAAATATATATTCGACAATAGGTAACACTAAAATTCAAAGTACATATTTCATCCTTTTTCTGTGTTCATCATCATTTTATGTAACTGTGTGTCTGAATCTTAAATTCGTTCCTGAATGTCGACATGTTCAGAAGTGCAAGCTCTTGTAAGGCTAAATAACTGACAGCTATCCCGACTTACTAGCCTAGCGTTTTCGGTCATAAGTATTAGATTTTGGTCCCATTAAATATACAGATACAGGTTCATTCATCTGATAAGTCCTAAATCGGATCGACTTCATCAAACTAATCTTACATTTATCAGCTCTAATATCTCACACAAAAGTAGTCATCGTATGAACTGATCCATATGAACATTTCATATATATATAAATTTTGGTCTAATCGCTTTCATTGTAATTGGAAATTAATTATAACTAAATCGAGTGTTTATTTGAAATAAATCTCAGAAATTATTTTCATTCAACCAATTGGAAATGCTGCAACATATCTATGAATAAGAAATATTTTAGAGATATGAGGACTTTTAGTGTTAACCAACTAATATCAATGAAATAATAACTACAGTTTACTAATACATTTGTCACTAAACATGTTCATAAGTAAAAAAGAATCTCATGGTATTTCCCTTTAAATTATGATATAGAACATAATCAACCAAGGATTAAAGAAATCAAATTTTAGAAATAGAGATATTTTCTGAAATAAACTTCAGTTTCAGTTAATAGGTCACGTTTCATTGCATTGTTCATCAGTGGAGTAGTTTACTTATTTTCAGTATTGATTTGATTTGTACCACCTACAGATGTACATGTTTCTTTGTTAGGTCGTTGTATACTTTTTTATTAACTTAATACCTGAGAGTAAAACATAACCCGTCTACCTTTTCATGAATCGAATCCCCATCCTTAAATTTTGAGTCAACGTCATCACCAATCCAAATTTGTTCATACGCAAAATGATATAAAAACTATTCGTAACTACTGGTTACAAACAAGTAGTATAGGTTGAATACCGAATATTTCAGGACGTTGATGACTGAATGGTATAAATGAATGTCAGCTATGACGCAGACGAAGTTTCTTAAACATCGGTCATGAAGTATTAAGAATAGATTATACCTAAAAATATTTGTCAAAAGTTCAGTGATCGAAATCTCCCCATTTCACTAGGTCACTCAAGAACCAGTAGGTACATACCCGATATCTTGATACTGAATAGTTATAAATAATCAATCCTATGCTTGAGGCAAAAGCTTCGTGTTTGTATTAACTGTAGTTAATGTTGACCAACTTTGGGACTTATTATAAGACTGAAAAATTGATATTTGAAGATGAAATCGTATCTGTAGACAAAAGTTGGCTAAACGATTAATTAAATGGTTTGAAGCTATGAGATATTCGTTTTTCTGAACATTTAAATATTTAATTTTTCTATTGAAAATGTACTTCTGTTTATTTGACTGTCGATTAATGATTATTTCTCAACTTTCTGCCCACTTCGAATCTCTCATTGGCTTACTTGCTTTCCACTCTGGAATAAGCCTGCATCTGAATATATTTCTCTAATTATCTTTTTGATTCCCTATTCAGCACAGTCTGAAAAATAGTGTATCAGTAGTTTAAGACATTTAAGTACTGTCACTGTTATAACCCAGTGAAGATTATGTTACAGGTAACTTCCGAGGACTGTTAATAGACTAATATTCTATAAATATTGTTATTGTATAATTATTCAATAATTACATTATATGTATTTATACTCCCTTAATTATAAGCTTTATTTTGATCTATAATTTATTATTATACGATTTACGGTTCTTAATCTATGTTCAGTCTATTAATTACTATCTCCCGCGTTTACATCCACTTTTTGGCTTATTTAATGTACACATGCTATTTTCTATTTTATGGTAGGGTGCGGTCTGGTTGATTGGTATATAAAGAGTATGTTTGAAATACATATATTCATATTGCGTAAGCTGGTATTGCGTTTTATTTGGACTCAAGCAGACGGGCTAGAGGGACCTCGGACCAACTAGGCGCCGGTTGAACGTCATTGGTTGGCATAGAGTGAAGATTTGTATAAGTTGTATTCTGATTGGTGAATAATTCGCGTGGTAGAAACGTCACACATCAAGGTCATAACAGTCACAGCATCCACAAACTATTTGACTTTAATATGCTCATGGTCTTACTGTTAGGACCATATTTTTTGGACGGCATTTGAACGAATTTTTAAGTGACCTTGAAACTATTAGCCAATCAGAAGAGTTAGTATAAAGTGAAAACAAAAAACCTATGAATTACAGCGGATATTCTTCTTTTACATTATTTAAAAACTTGTTAAGGTTAGATAAAGTTTCAGATGTCCTGAAATCATAGTGCATGGGGTTAGGGTTCAGGGTTAAGGTTAGGGTTTAGGGTTAGAGTTGGGGTTTAGGTTAGGGTTGAGGTTTAGGATTAAGGTTAATGGTTAGGTTAGGGTGCACAAATCGAAGTCTATGGAGGCATCTATACGTTTTCCAATCATTGGCATATATCGTACTGCCAGGCTGCACGTACTGTAACATCTGCAAAAGCCGCAGCCAATGTTACTGGTGACTTCATAATCCAATTTGAAACAATTATCATGATTTGCCTTAGTCTGAGTCGTGATCGAGCGAAGAAAGTGCCAGTTCAAGCAGATTTTATCTGCTAAAATATAGTATAACGAAATCTAATGTCATCACGGTAGTCTGCACATCTTGTTGCAGTCATTTGATTGCCGCAGTCACAGATACAGGAACTTCTTAATAGTCCCATATGTTGTAGTCGCTCAAAAATCACCTCTTCTCCAAAATCTGCTGTAAAACGATCAAATGTGAGCATCTCGTATCGAACATAGCGCCGTGACCTTGAAATTCCTCAAACCCTTCTGATTGACTCGTCCATAAATTAGAGTCTTACCGTCTTACTTCATTATGATCTAATGGTATTGATGCTAATGAAATATGTGTCCTACTTACTCCACACATATTCCGTCGATAAATCCCGTTAATAATAACGTAGATATAAAATGTTGAGTACAAAATATTTGAGGTGCCTATATTTCAGACATTCAGTAATGCAGTCGGACGATAAGAGACGAAGAAAATGCATGTTAACAGGAAAGGCAGAAATAAACAACTCTAAGTGACTTAATGTTTATAAAACACGAGAGAAATACAAGTAAATACACCAACACAAACGTACTACCATACATGTAAATTGCATGATCAAGCTTAAATTTGTGTACTTAGCGGGATCATGTGTGAGCAATAAGATAAATGGAAAGATGAGATTAATTTGTCGATCCAAAAGTTAGGATAAATTAAATTGGGTGTGCGATGAAATAGAATCTCCTATAACTTTATAGAGAACTTTCTAACATGGAAGGTTA